GATCAAACAATGACCAACACAAAGGTGGGGGGAGTTCTCTCTGTCCCATATCTTGCTTCAAATGGCCAAGTCAGAAGCTACTCAAAAGGAAACTGGGACAAGCATTCCTTTACTTAGCCCCTCAACCGTGACAGGTCCTGTGGTAGGATTGCAACTGGACTCGTTCAGGGGCTTTTGAAGAGACGTGTGACAGATGATCAACTACAGCACAAATTCCAACGTTTGCCTTCCCAACCATGAATGTGACAAGGGCTGCATTCAGAGAGACATCGACAAATTGAAAGAGTATCAACTCAGGAACAGAAAGCTGAGAGGGTGGAGCACTGACCCTGAGCTTAATTTATTGGTGCTGCTTACCATTAATCAATTTTGTTTTTCTTGCTAAACATAGCACAAAAATTGGCCTAATGGTAATCGTATTTCTCAGTGAACATTTTGCAGTTGCTGTGCTTAGCACAAAAATTACATTTGCGCGCATGAAGATTTCCACTTTAAGGTCACTAAGTTAAGCACATTTTTCCTCCAAGGTGAGCATGCCTTTTGCTCTGCTTACTACTTACTGAAATATACGGAGCCTCAGTCAGCGTAAAATTGTGTGCTTGGCAGCATTGTGAAATTGGGCCAGGTTTCAGTGGTTACAGGTTCATACCCCGTTCCAGCCCAATTCCTCATTCAGCTGAGTATCATTTTGACCTTTGCCCCAGAGCTGACCCAATCGAGGGCTTCGTGGACGACTATAGCAACCTGATTCGCGGCCTGCTGGACCTGTACGAAGCCAGCTTTGACCAGTCCTGGCTGGAATGGGCCAGTTCCCTCCAGGCCAAACAGGATGAGCTCTTTTGGGACGCAGACAACGGCGGCTACTATGGGGCATCCAGCAAGGACCCATCCATCAAGCTGAGACTGAAAGAAGGTAGGATTCTGTTGTTTGTGGGTAGGCCTTTTCTGCGTCAAAGGGACAATTTCGTGGGTTTGAGAAGTCAAAACTGCATAGTTTTGACAAAAATGTGTCCCCATTAGATTTTGGTCCTCATATTGTCAATTTGTATGACCCACTCTGCAAAATGAATCACATGTCCCTTTTGAATGAATCCCGCGCACTGTTGTCTGCAACATTTGAACATCTACACAACGTCCATTTTCATCATACCAAACTGAGTAACACCTTAAAACAAAGAACTCAGTTTCCTTTATCAAACACAAAGTCGAACTCAAAAGTGGCTCCAGTGACTTGTGATAAATTTTTACACAGTGAGTCACATATTTCAACACCTGTGTGTTCCCCATAACCCAGTTAAAAGTACATGTGGGCAGGCCTTCATTGCGTTAATTAGACAATTTCTTTTATTAGGCAAATTAGCACTGAGTAGTGGGGACATTTCTCCCCACAATGTTTTTGGTCCACACAAAATCGCCGTAATGACAAGTGTTTGTCCCCACAGTTACGGCACAGTTACGGTGTGTAAGTGAACATGTTTCCATGTTCACACTGTGAGCCTTGAACAGTAGGTAAACTAGGGTCTTTGATTAGCTTCTTGATGGAGGAACCGTTACCAATCTGATGGGTGGTCTTTGTAGAAAGATGAAGTAGGAACAAGAAGACAACAATATGAGGTCCATAAAATGTAGGGATTCTCAAGACAGTGGTACTCCAGGGAATGGCTTTAACTTTTGGCCCTGGAGTTTGATTGGTTGAAAAGTGTGAGTTAATTAAAATTGATGAAGACGGCTAATGATGGTGAATGGGCATCGCTTTCCTTTCTCCATTCTTTGTGTATATCTTGGATTTGTCAAATCATGCCAACAGAAGCCCAAATCTTGTCTACATTGTACAGTATTTGCCAGTGCTCTCTGTCAAAATTCTGTTTGTGTACTATGAGACATAAAATGACAAAAATTAATTTGATTTAAAAAAAGAAAGAATTTAAACATGTATAAATCTATATAAATGTGGTATGGTTGAACATGCCAAAAGAGTTACCTTTCCTTCAGTGTTTTGTACATGTATCTTACCATTATTTGTGACCAGCTCTTTAAAAAGAAATCACTGGAGCCATTTTTGAGTTTTGCTTTGTATTAGAATGAGGAATATGAGTTCCTAGTTTAGATGTGTCGCTCAGTTTGGTATGATTAAAATGGACGGTGTGTAGATGTTAAAATGTTGAGGATTCCCGTTTAAACACTGTGCAAGACTGTTTCCAGGACCTTCAACTCAAAAGTGGCTCTGGCGACAGGACTCGTTTTTTACAGAGTAGGTCCCATTTATTGTACTTTATATCATTGCTTTTCACTGTCACTGTAGCTTTCATCGCCTGATGAACACCCTTGATTTATCGTGCATGTTGCCTGTATCATAGTCTGCTTGTTGCGCTTATTTTTTCCGTGTACTTTTCTACAGGTTGTCTTCCCACATACTGTGGGTTCTTGATTTATAGTCTATTTGACATAAACATGTGTAACACAGACAGGTGCCAGGAAACCAGACCACAGCACGACAAAATGGGACAGTCTAAACTTATTCTTTGGTCATACAAAAGAAAAAAAAGTACTTCCCCAGGACTTCAATAGAGGGATTGCATTGCTGCTATCTTGCAAGCTGGAACATTTTTTCTAAGGGTATACAGAGTTGCGGTGGAACGATTTTCAAAGTGGGGGGGGCAGTTGTTAGACCATCAGGAATCAGCCATGAATAGGCCAATCCGTTAAGCCCCACCCCACTATAAGCCCTGCAAAAGGTGGGGACCATAGCCCCCCTCGAAATAGTAGGGGGGAGGCCACTGGCCCCCCTGGCCCCCCCTGCTTACGTCGCCAGTGGGTATACACAAAGGAGACTTGGAACAAAACAACCACCCTGCAAGATGGCTACCGTACAAAGCCTCCATAGTAGACAGGACATACTGTCAAATGAGTGTTTGCCTCAAAGAGACTTCTTTTCAACTTCACAGTCATCTTTCTACAGGCTATATCTTGCATTCAATGAATGCGTCCATCTTTACGCATGTCCAGCGTGCACGCAAAATGTACCCACAATACTTGTGACCAAAAACCCTCATTATATCACAGAAACATTGCTTAATGAAAGTACATGTATACATTAAAAAACAAGTGCTGTCCTTGGCCCACTTGTGTGGCTCTTTGAGAGTATTTTGTATCCAAATAGCAAACAATTCTGCACAATGTTTAGGATCTTCCACTGATTAGTAATGCTCATACATATAAAAATCAAATAGCATAGGATTCTGTTGTTATGTTTTTTGGATAATTTAGGAAAATCTACAAAAAAATACATGTGTATCTTAGTAATGCCAATAGCATCAACATGAAATTCAAGACTTCCTTGCTGATCAGTGCTGTATTATTATATTAGTGATGGTGCCTACGGAACACTGGTGCCTAGGGCCTACAAAACACTGGTGCCTAGGAGCAACTAAACACTGACACCCTGGGCTTACAGCACACTGGTGCCCAGGGCCTGTGGAATACTGGTGCCCAGGGCCTGTGGAATACTGGTGCCTAGGCCTATGAAACACTGGTGCCTAGGGCCTGTGGAACACTGGTGCCTGGCGCCTATGGAACACTGGTGCCTAGGGCCTATGGGACACTGGTGCCTAGCGCCTATGGAACACTGGTGCCCAGGGCCTATGGGACACTGGTGCCTAGCGCCTATGGAACACTTGTGCCTAGGGCCTACGGAACACTGGTACCTAGCACCTATGGAACACTGGTGCCTAGCGCCTATGGAACACTTGTGCCTAGGGCCTACGGAACACTGGTACCTAATGCCTATGGAACACTGGTGCCTATGGCCTATGGAACACTGGTGCCTAGTGCCTTCAGAACACTGGTGCCCAGGGCCTATGGGACACTGTTGCCTAGCACCTATGGAACACTGGGGCCTACAGAACTCTTTATTCGGCCCTGTAGCAGTATAGCCACTATATATATGATTTTCTCATTTTGGACATTCAATGCAAATCCCCATTCCTTTTGTATTGCTTTGCTCTCTTAATGTTCCTTTGCAATCTTCCACCCTGTATCTGCATAGCCACCAACAAAAGGATCAAGTTGGACTAGAGTTTCTCTCAAAACGTACATGGAAACGTAATTTGTACAAGCCCGCATTAAATTAACCCCTTCATGCTGGGAATTTCTTCCTGAAAGCCGACTCCAAGATTTCCGGCCTCACTTGGCCATGAAGGCCACCTGCCAAACCGCAAATTGTCGGTTTGTGGCCCAGCGTGCTCTGCACGCTTTGAATTACACGGTGAAAAGGCTGATTGTTCGGTGGCATGCGGCGCTACTCACGCTTCCACATTCCCGTTGCCTCTTTTCAAAGTGAGGACTATTGTGAAGCTGGTTATTATAATGCAAATTCGGTCTTTTCATTTCTGGGCTACACAATAAGGCCAATTACCATATATACAAAAGCCAGGATCTGCCTTCTTTCATGGTGTTCACTCGAGCGTGGGCCGAGAATAATAGCTGAAAAGCGGGCTGAGGATCTCAATTTTTACGGCGCCCGCTCAAAAAGACCAACCAAACACAACTGGCAACTTTTGATACTGGAGCAGCTGTGAAATGTAAGCTTACATCTAAGGTGGCATCACTGCTTTGTCATGAATATGGAAATTAGAATTTTCATAAGAGCCTTTCTGTTAATCACCCTGATGGCATTCTGTAGATGGGCAATTCAGTTACGTTGGAAAAGAAGTGCACCTCAAGGATTCCATTTACAGATGTCTGTTGCATTCAGAGAAGTCTCTGCAAGCATACGTGGCCAGCCTCTATTTTCCCCGGGCCTCTTGGTAGCTTGCGATTGAATTATAAGCTGCTTTTATCCAGCACACGGCCCTTGTCACCGGCAGAAATGTTGGAATGCGACATCTGTCACCGTTGGAGAGAGATATGGCATCGGATGGAATTCAGCTTCACTCAGTTTTCCTCTAAGTCTTTGGCCTGTTTTTCTCTCGCTTCCTTTTGTGCATCTGATGGTTATTCTCTCTCGGGTCTTGTAACCTTGTAAGTTGACGTGTTGGCTCCCGTAACCCCACCAGCACCGTAATCAATCTGGCGTTGTGTCAGTCCAAACTGTGGGCGTGCAGGGATCGTATTATTTCTGGGCCCCTAGGGTACACATCACATTCCTGGGCAACTCCACTCTATTCACAGGCACGGGGTGAGGACGTGCCCCAATTCCTGGTCCTCGAATGTTTAATTGCTTTGGAAATGTTTCCTTTGTAGCATATTGAGCAATTAAGTACTCTGTATCCAGCCAGTCCAGGAAGTGGGAGTGATTTCCAATTAGGAGCAGGAAAGGTAGAACTCACAACCAGTTAATCAAAGTCACCATGGAGCTGAATTTCATCCCCGATTGTCCAACCCGAGCCATGTCCAATTAGCTTGGAATTTCTGACCGAAAACACTACAAAGGCAGTTAGGACTATTCAGACCTGGCTCTAAAGTGAATGATGAAAGTGGTATACTTAGGACAATTCAGTCTATTCAAGTGGAAATTCGGTTCCTCCAACTGAAACAAGGGAGAAGATGAATTCTAATGAAATCTACTGACTTGAACAGATGGAGATTTCTCTTATATTTTCCTTGGAAATTTTGGGTTGCTTTTAAAAACTACCGGGGAGCGTCAGCACTGCGGTGCGGCTTAAACGCCAACTTTATGTTTTGATTTGTTGATTTTTGTGTGCTGTGACTTGTACACCGGATGGTTTATGTTCCGAAAATTACGACATTTGAATTTGAATGTGGAGTGATTCTTTTTTTCCGTTCAAATCATCTAGTACTTAGTTTTACTTGTTGGAAACAAGAAAAAAAAAGTCATGCTGCAAGTTTACAAGTCAACTTTCTGAGAAGACTGTAGAAATTTTTTGAAACAATTTGGTCTTGGTATTTTTCACA